AGTTTGAACTCAAAAAAGATTCTATACAGTGGCACAAACTGGCACACCACCATCAAGAAGTTCGAGGTGTCTTCGTCGGTTGAAAAAATCATAACCGCTGTCTTCAGGGATACTGAAGAAAACCTGTTGATTGACTACAAATGAAAAAAAATCATTACAACAGGAGATAACTACGCTTCACTTTAAGAAAGGTTTCGAGATGCTGTGAGGGTAAAAAAGCGGGGAAAATAAATCAAGTGTACTGTTTTTACACGACGCTGCAGCTGCGCCCGTGCGCAAGGTGCAAGTTGCGGTGGCTGTTGTGCAAAGGGTGGGCTTCAAAATCCTGAAAAAACCTTTCTGTGACCCAGATTAAGCCCTCAGCTATTATTACAATGTTTTTTAAATGAAGAAAAAGCTTAGAGGGAAGAAATTTTCTAGTGACAATGAAGTGAAGTGTTAGTCCAGTCAATAAAGCATTATAGATGGAAATCTGAGGAACACAATTTCTGACTTCAGGACTTTATTTAGACTAGTTAGGAGGTGAGCATAGCAAAAGTCCCCGCCCTTAGCCCTTGAGCCGGCGGGGCGAGGGGGGTTTATAGGTACCACTTTTCGGTTTTTCGCTTAATCCTCGGAAACTATGCGTCCTAGTGACATGGCTACTATGAACCAAAAAAAGCTTATTCAATTTGCTACAGGTAAGATAGTCAAGTTTTTCTATATCTTGTATACAGTGTGAGTCACGTTAAAGTGTACAAATGAAAATAGGTGAAACTAGACCTATTTTTATCGACAAAAAAGGGGTCAAAATTTTTTTGAAATTTTTTAAAAATTTTTATACAGTGTCCCGTAATGCAACGTCAAGCCGGAACTGGGTGTTGAGGCAAGTTATGCTGGTTATAAGAAAAATATAAAAAAAAAATCTATGTGTCATTTTGTCAAAATAATAGGCATTTAAAAAAAACACAAAAAATCTACTCCCGGTGACGGTCTTTTTACTCGTGTTGCCACAAATCTTCACTTTTTCCAATTTTTTTTTGTTATGTATCCCTGAATAATGCTTCTCTAAATTGTTATCAAAATTACAAAACCAGCTGCTCCAGCTTGGATGAAAAAAATACATTATTCCCAAAAAAAATTTCAAAATAAAAATTTTGCCTAGTTTAAACTGACTGCACTTAAAAAAAATTGTACTACGCGAGTATGGCAAGTGATGTCATAATTTGGCGCATTTAGTAACGATTCCAAAATGGTATAACACTTGATAAATTCTTGCTGTAATTGTCGACAATTTTGTTTTTTTGGAAATAATCCCGTTTTTAACTTTATCTACCTTGGTTAAAAATAATATTCTAATGTGCCCAAAATTCAAGTTTCTGGCTTAAGTAAGGTGGAGAAGCCATTTTAAAAGGTATGAGCGGAACGGAGAGGGCCATCTACCAAGCAGGGATGTTATGGATATCCGTAACCGTAACCGAAACTATCGGATATCCGAAATAAAAAAATATCCATAACCGTAACCGAAACTGATTCAAAAGTTACGGATAGTTTCTGATAAAGGCGGAGTCTTAAGGGTACAATTCCAAACTGCAAAACTCTATGAAATCTGCAGTATACACGCCGCAGCTGCAATGCCGCGCTGCCGATTTCATAGTTTTGCGGTTTGCGGTTGCAGTTTGCGGTCTGCGGCACGTCTTGGAATTGTACCTTAAATCTTAATATTTGTTACCAACTTGTCTGGCATTCCCTGGCACCATCTAATTTGCCAGCCTGTTTTACCTTTATCATACATAGGTGTCGTCTTAGTTGGTACATAAAGTAGCTATGTGGGTCACGCAGCATCTTGCTATTTGAATTATACCTACATTTTTGAAATTCTAATAATTCCGTAACCGAAATTATCCGAAACTTTCGGATAATCTGAAATAATTTCATCTCCGTGACCGTAACCGAAACCGGTATAATATTATTCTAATATCCGTAACCGTATCCATAACCGAAACTTCATATCCTTATTATCCCTGTTACCAAGTACAAGTGCAGGCAGATAAAGGCGCGCGCGCGCGGGTGACTTTTGTCACAGTATATTGTCAACTACTAACTTCTGTCATGGTGACAAAAGTTTCTGTGACTGACTGTACGGTAGTCAGTCACAGAAACTTGAATTTTGAGCACATTAGAATAATAATGGTATTTAACCAAGGTAGATAAAGTTAAAAACGGGATTATTTCCAAAAACCCAAAAATTGTCGACAATGAGGATCATTTCGATTTTTAGCTGTGAATGCATATTTATAGGGCTAAGAAATCCTTAATACACAGTGCAAAAATTTTTGTTCTACGACAAAAATTGACGAAGTNACAACAGTACTGATCCTCATTACAGCAAGAATTTACCAAGAGTTATACCATTTTGGAATCCTTACTAAATGCGCCAAATTATGACGTCACTTGCCATACTCGCGTAGTACAATTTTTTTTTTAGGACAGTCAGTTTAAACTAAGCCAAATTTTTATTTTGAGAGTTTTTTGGGAATAAAGTATTTTTTTCATCCAAGCTGGAGCAGCTGGTTTTGTAATTTTGATAACAATTTAGAGAAGCATTATTCAGGGTTAAATAACAAAAAAAAATTTGGAAAAAGTGAAGATTTGTGGCAACACGAGTAAAAAGACCGTCACCGGGAGTAGATTTTTTTGTTTTTTTTTTTAATGCCTATTATTTTGACAAAATGACACATAGATTTTTTTTTCTATTTTTCTGATAACCAGCATAACTTGCCTCAACACCCAGTTCCGGCTTGACGTTACATTACGGGACACCCTGTATAATTTTTATTCTTCCAATCTCTTCTTGTAAAGAAAACGTAATAACTTTTAAACTAAGAGGTACCTATATTCTGATAAAATAAAAACAGTAATAATGCTAAATAACAGGCAATACTAAAAAAATACATAAAATACTCAGAAAATGGCAACAAATAATTAAATATGATACATTTTGAGAAAAATCTGCATTTTAATTCGTGTTTTTTTGGTTATTTGATAAATTTATCCAAATAATGCCCCCATAGCAGGTGGTTTTTATTACTTTGTGTTATTCTTTATCGTATTACCTTTGTAAAACCAAAAATCGCATGTCTCTATATCCCTATCACAACGTTTGCAATGATCGTTTGAACTAAGCCTCTCCGGGCGCGCCATTCAACGCTTCGTTAACAACGAAACTGAAAGAGGCTCTAGATTTGTAATTTTGATAAAAACAAGTTAGATTTCAAATAAAAACAAAAAATTTCGAAGTACAATAAGCATTTTAGTTAAAATTAAAATTGTCTCTACCTGTAGCGGAGAATAATGTGGTGACAGGCCTTTGTTCAAACGATCATAGCAAATGTTGTGATAAGGATAGAGACATGCAATTTTTGGTTTTACAAAAGTAATAAGATAGAGAATAATACAAAGCAATAAAAACCACCTGTTATAGGAGCATTTTTTGGAGGAATTGATCAAATAACCAAAAAACACGAATTTAAAAGCAGAATTTTTTCAAAAAGTATAATTTTTTATTATTTGTTGGCATTTTCTGGGTATTTTATGTATTTTATTAGTATCACCTGTTATTTAGCATTATTACTGTTTTTATTTTATCAGGATATACCTATTAGTTTAAAAGTTATTACGTTTTCTTTACGAGAAGTAATTGAGAAAAAAAAAATTCTATAAAAAATTTAAAAAAATCTCAAAAAATTTTTGACCTCTTTTTTGACGATAAAAATAGGTCTAGTTTCACATATTTTCATATGTGCACTTTTTCGTGACTCACACTGTAGTTTTCGCGGCATCTGCTGCTGGTTATTTGATAAATTTCTCAAAAAAATGCCCCTATAACCGGTGGTTTTTATTACTTTTTATTATGCTCTATCGTGTTACCTTCGTAAAACCAAAAATCGCATGTCTCTATCCCTATCACAACGTTCGCAATGATCGTTTGAACTAAGCCCCTCAGGGCGCGCCATTCAACGCTTCGTTAACAACGAAACTGAAAATGGCTCTAGATTGGTAATTTTGATAAAGACAAGTTAGATTTCAAATAAAAACAAAAGATTTTGAAGTAAAATAAGCATTTTAGTTAAAATTAAAATTGTCTCTACCTGTAGCGGAGAATAATGTTGTGGCAGGCCTTTGTTCAAACGATCATAGCAAATGTTGTGATAGGTATAGAGACATGCGATTTTTGGTTTTACAAAGATAATACGATAGAAAATAATACAAAGTAATAAAAACCACCTGTTATAGGGGCATTTTTTGGAGAAATTTATCAAATAACCAAAAAAACACGAATTTAAAAGCAGATTTTTTTTCAAAAAGTATCATTTTTTATTATTTGTTGGCCTTTTTTGTGTATTTTTTTTGTATTGTCTGTTATTTAGCATTATTACTGTTTTTATTTTATCAGGATATACCGCTTAGTTTAAAAGTTATTACGTTTTATTTACAATAAGTAATTGGAAGAAAAAAAATTCTATAAATTTTTTTTAAAAAATCTCAAAAAAAAATTGACCTCTTTTTTGTCGATAAAAATAGATCTAGTTTCATCTATTTTCATATGTACACTTTAACGTGACTCACACTGTATAACATCACCCTACAACCAATAGGGGCGGAGCAGTAAAGACAAATGTTGTAAAAATAGGAAATATTATTCAAACTATTTCCACGCGTACAAAGTCGTAGGAACAGCTAGTATAATATTTAATAAAATTCATCTATAACCCCGCGCCACATGCGACATGACATAACATGCGTAGATTAGTCCAAAATGTGCAATGTATAGAATGATATCAAGAACATTTTTCGGTTGAAAAAACAGACTTTTCAATCAGTCATAACTTTTTACTGACAGCATATTTTTTATTGCGGTTTGGTTATAATGAATCAGTATTTAGTAGACTATCTTACCACATTGGTCTCGTTAGTGGTGGACATTTGGACCACACTCCATACATTTTTGGTCATTGTCCTTTAATAATTGTATTATGCTAAAGAAAGAATAAATTAAAAACCAAAAATAATTGTGAGTTAAGTTCATAAAATTTCTTACTCCTCGTTTTACCCGTCATTCCGCGAACTTTTTGACCTACCCTCGTACATACAGGCATTTACACATCATGCCCACTAGACATGAAAAAATACAAAGTAACATAATGAATATGGTGAATAATTGCATGATGTATTGAGCATACAGTACAAATATCCTTTGTAAACAGTACAATATTTTCTGTAATATTACACGATATAACCTTATTAAAAATATTGAGGCAAGTGTGTTCCACATAGATGTATCAGCAGGTGGGATAAACATTATTCTTATAAATTTCTACTTTAAAACTTAATAAGATCTTCACTAGTGTCTTGGGATTGACTAGTGTTCGCTATATTTTGAGTAATATGAACATCTGATGTTTTAGGAGACATTTTTCTTCTAGGGGGAATGGGAGCTTCATCTAAGATACCGGTAGAACCCAAAAGTTTGCCTTGTTCTTTAAGTAATTTTAGATCACAATTTATTTCGGCTCGTCTAGTGGACGGTGACAATTTCTTTCTAACGGGTGGACTCGGCGCCGCTCGCGAATATGCCGGCCGGTTGTCAAAAATGGATATATCAATTTCATTCGCGTTGCCCGTAAACAAGGCTGCCGTTTTACTTCTTTCTAGTGCAAAACTATTACTCGGTACATCTTCCTTCACTTCATTGTTCGATTTAAGATAATCGTCAGTATAGAACGTGGTCTTTTTCGAGTACTCTGCTTTAAAATGCTTGTGCGCTTGAACATCCGATTTGCTCCTCTCAAGGGTGAAAGCACCATTTGTGTGAAGATGGCAGCTGAAGGAGTTCAAGACGGTATTGACCGTGCAGGCCGGCGTGGTGGAGAAGGGCACGGCCGGCGCCCACAAACACGCGCCCTCGTTTCTAGGTACCAGCAGAAGTGGGTCCTATCAAAATTTAATTAAAAATCAAAAGAAACCATTTGAATGTGAAAGTTAAAATAGAAATAGTGACGACATAATATTTAGTGAAATAAATTTACATTCACATTATATCATATACATCAATTAGTAATTAAAAAACTCATAAAACTCATTTATTTTTGCAAATAGGCTTTTAAAAAGCACTTTTACACGTCCCAATATTATAACCCTACCACTGCTTCGGGACAATAAATGGGCCAGTGCTGAGAACAGCGCAAGAAACTCAGTCACTATTTGTCAGCCTCCTTTTCAAGGGATTACAGTCTTTAAAATATATAAATTTATAGTCATAAGTATTGATGCGAGCTAGGTAGTTTAACATTCCAAACATTTTTATCTTTTATTTTAATTTATATAATCATCAACTTTATAGTAGCCCTTTTTCATTAAGGCAAAAGTAAGTAATAATCCTCGTCTCTCCAGTAGATGCAAATTTTATTTATTTATGTTTTTAAAGAAAGTATTCATAATATTTAACAAATTACTTTTTTACTCCGCAAATCTTGAAATGTTTATTGGTATCATTGATAAATAATCAAAGAAAGTAATAAAGGCACTCACCTTGCCAGTTATGGAAAATATTTTTGATTGCAGTGTATGTAATCTACTTCGTAAATATTCATAGGAGCATTCTCTTAACTTTATGACCCATTGGACTACATTGTCTTCTGCACGTGCAGCGAAAACATGACGTTTTTCTGGTTCATCTCTGAAAACATTTAAATATCACTATACACTTACACCTCACAAAAATAACACCATTATATTTTCATATGCTCACTTCTACAGTACACAGTGCACGTATCACTCACTCACTGTAACAAATCTTTACTCATGGAAAAATCAAAGTAGTTAAATATTATGTATTATTGATAGTTAATATCTAAATATAACTCAAAGCTGACTGACTGACTGACATAGTGATCTAGTACAGCCCAACCAGGGCTGGACGGATCGGGCTGAAATTTGGCATGCAGGTAGATGTTGTTACATAGGATGCCTAAGAAAGGATTTTACGAAACTCCACTCCTAAGGGGGTAAAACGGGATCCACGCGTAAGTAGTGGGCGGCTGCTAGTTTAGTTATTATTATTGAACACAATGTTTACTCACTAGTTATCAAATTATCCTTCAACACTATTAAACAAAAAGAGATCAATAGTATGTGATAAATAATAAAACAGTCTATTGGCACTTACATAAATGATATAGAAAACGAAAAAGGTATGCTTTGTCCATGCTCCATTTGTATTGATGAATTCTCCAGCACAAATATTCCAGCTGGATTTTTTGTATCAAATTTACCCATCTCACTTATCTTGAAATAAAAAAGGTAATTGTTGATAAGTCGAAACCATCTCTCTTTAAAAACTGTAATTAGAAAGAAATAAGAAATGTTTATTCAGTATCATCGACAAGACACTTAACTTACAACAATACTTTAAACCAAGGCTGCTCAACCCCAGGCCCGCGGGCCACACTGTGGAATTTTAAGTGACCTGCGCAAGTATGGTTGATCTTAATAATTGAGTTTTTTATTGCGCTTGTCCTGAGAGTTACTGAAATAAGAAATGTAAGTGACCCATCGTTAACGACTGAATCCACCATTTGGCCCGACTCTTCAAAAGGTTCAGCAGCCTTGCTTTAAACCATAAAATTTCAATGAAAATGTGTAGATAACCAGGTGTACTACCTATTGTACACAAATCAATATATTGTGAAATGTATTAGTAATCATTGGAATTAAGGAAAATAAATACTAGTAGTGAAAGACTGCACTATTTCAGATAGCAAAAAAGCAAATTATTCAAAGGATTATCAAAAAAAATGTTTTTATTGTAAATTGCAAATTTATAAACTTTGTTGATAAATTATTTACCTGCTTGACTGCGGTACCCTCCATTAGTAATTTTTTTATAGTTTAATCTTCCTTCTATGATGCAGGGCTGATCGCTTAGATGAGCGAGTTCACGAATATTGCATTTCATTATTGTAGCTTTGTTAATTAAACTATTTTTAATTAAAACAGGATAGTAAACGTAGTGATTTTGTGATTATGAAGACTCATCGAATAAACATGAGATCTAATATTAATTGAATCCAATCTTCTAAAAATAAACAGAAAAATGAACAGACAATTGTGTCAATGTCATTAGAATCAATTAGAATTGGTTGTCATTTGTCAATTGCTGTAATCAAAGAGCATCTAAATACATGACGCTACAGATAATGGAGGCCACACTCCGAATACCTACTTGAAGCACAAACTATGTATCACTATCTCGCTCTCTGTGGGCAGACTCTCTCTTTCTAAATAAACAAATAACATAAATTTGCTCAAATTCAATGAAACTCAATGTAAAATCTTTATTTCTTGACATAGGTATCATTAAAAATGATAAGTGTAAATACTGGTAAAACGTTTTGGGAAGAAATTACTGTAAAAAATGTGAAAAATGTTTACAATGTAAACAATCTCAAACGAAATTAACTGCTTAACTTAATAAACAAAATAGTAAACAACCGCCATGATGGGCCGGATTGGGCCGATGTTGCCACATGGTACCGATTACCCAGGAATTGGGATTGTAATTCCCTGATTCGCCAACACACAATGTAAAATCTTTATTTCTTGACATAGGTATCATTAAAAATGATAAGTGTAAATACTGGTAAAACGTTTTGGGAAGAAATTACTGTAAAAAATGTGAAAAATGTTTACAATGTAAACAATCTCAAATGAAATTAACTGCTTAATAAACAAAATAGTAAACAACCGCCATGATGGGCCGGATTGGGCCGATGTTGCCACATGGTACCGATTACCCAGGAATTGGGATTGTAATTCCCTGATTCGCCAACACATTAAGCCTAAATGGCCGACAATTTTGTGATTTTTTATTTAACTAGGTAATCTTAGTTTCAAATATTAATTATTTATTTGTTTAACTTCTGATTTGGTTAGTGAATTGGCTATTTCGAAGAATTTACAAGATTTAAATCAGAAGATAGCAATACTACAGTTCACACTAAAAAGAGAGGTAGGGCCGCAGAGAGCGAGATAGATATAAGTAGGTATTTGACTCAAGTTTTTGTTCCAACTCTGCCCTCCATTTTTATCTTTAGCTTCATGGTGTGCGCGCTCCCATACATGCCCATACTGATCAACTGCCCGACTAAACTATCGGCCGACGAAAAATCAACGGTGTGCGCCTACTCTAAACACTCGACATTGGCAAAACCAGTGTGCTTCAAATTCGCACCATTGAAGCCATTAGACAGAATAAATAAGCTAATAATATCTACTAAAAAGGGGTGTCATAATTCGTTTTGGAAACAAAATTATGAGGTCATGAATATTATAGATATAGCCTGACCAGGAACATAAAAACCCTGGCACAGAGGCGCTTCAATTGCATTTGATAGTGCAACACTGAGTACAGTCGTACATGTGTTAAATTAATAGGCTAAATTTATGTATCAGGATTCAGGATTACGGGCTAATTTGATATTTTCATAAATTAACGAAAAATATTATTAAAGATAACCTGGTTTAAATAAATTAAATGAAACCATCAATCGAGCTAGTAGGATTTATTTTATTATTCATCAATAATCAAATTCACAACATGAATATTCAACTGCAATGTCTGCTCATGAACGCTTCAAACTCGGTACTTCTTTCCCAATTCCAAAAAATTCAAAACTTAGAAAGTGACAAAAAACTTTAAAATAGGTAGTTGAAACAGACTACAGCTAATTTTCATAGTGGACTGTACCATACGATAAACATGTCAGTCAATTTGACAACCTTTGTCGGAAACATTATTCAATGAAAATATTGTCCGAACCCTTAGTATTTCTCTTCGACAAATACATTAACACATCGTGAACCACTTTTCTTTCACGACTATAAAAATATTTTAGCAATTTAATTCACATTTAAAATAAAGTTTGTTTACACTTTGACAACAATAGACTGACATGCATGGTGACACGTCAATGAAGTTTTCAGTTACTGTTGCCATTAAAAGAAATTAGTACCATTAGTTTTCCGCAACATGGCGAGGGTTTTTATGTTCCTGGTCAGGCTATAAATACTTTTTTCTCTAAGTTTTCTTCTGTGGTTTGCTTTTGTTTTGTTCGACCCATTTTTGTATACTTTCGCAAGCAAACATACCAATGCTTTGGGACTATTATGATGGAAGCATTAAATTTCCAAGTTGCCTTATTCAATAGAGAACGGAGTGAATCAAAGGCAACAAAATATATAATTACTCATTTATTTTTAACTTTTAGTACAAAATAAAACTAGTACACAGGGATACATCTCAAACCTAGCATTTGCAATGTTGAATAGTCCGAGGCTTATGACAATAAGTCTTCTCATTTGTACTATTTTAGACACTAACGTCACACAGTATAGCTCATTTCCAAAAAAAATCTTAACTGAATAATGTTATCACTCCTCAAGGCAACCATCTTGCAATTCATTCAAAATACGCCGTAGTCCATAAATACAATATAACTACTGTACGCGAAATCGATTTTATATTCCTTAATTATATACGAATACATACACAATTTTGAGGTTTGGAGCGGCATTGATGAGTTTTATCAGGCACAATCAAACCGGTGCACTCCTATGTTCACAATACATAATAACGACATTGACATAACAACACAATTTTATTGATAAGAATTTAACATCTCTGTAAAACATATTTTAAAATGCCGCATATTTTGTATTATGAACATGTATCTTATATTTTCCTTCTTTCGACACTATAATAGTCGGTCTCAAATTATTACCATTGCTCAAATTCAGTATCTATTACCTAATACACAATTATATTAACAGTTTCTATATACAAGTACAGTGTACATCAAACTAAACAAAAGTAAATAAATAATATTATGTTGTATAAGTATTCAAGTCTCAAAAACCTTATGTTTTCAATGCTGATATTTAAAATTGCAATTGACGAAGTGTATTCAAAATACTTGTATCACTGAACTGTATGTAACAATGTTTTTACTTTTTTCGGGTAGGTATTTCAAACCAATTCTATTTTACTCTACTATGCCTATTTTTCTCTCAAAAATATTTTATCTACATTTAATGCTTAAATCGACTTCTAGCTCAAACTCTAAAAACAAAAGTTGTTAACGATTTGGTACAGTACAATCTTAGTGGTACAATCCATCCAAATAAAATTTAAGCTCCCTAAATTAACATACAAGTTATGTTTAATATAACGGTTACCTAATTTAGTAATTCAATTTGATTATCCGATTGTTACTTTGTTCACTTAATGACAAAAACTACGTACACACGGCCGCAGCACAGGGCGCAGTGTTAACTATCAATTTCCGTTTATGCTTTCGCTCTCATCAAATGGTGATTCTTTGCGATAGAACGAGACAACATAACCGGCAATGGGTAGTTAACACTGTTGCCGATAGTAAATTATTCATACGTTTCCTATTGTAAAGTTTGAATTATTTTGCTGATCGTTGTTCAATACAGTAAAAACAATTCTTATGTTATCGAAATATATGTACTATCCATAATTACAAACTGCATTCGGAACAACGATTGCAAAAGTACTCTCGTAATAAGGCCCCTGATCGAATTAAGAACCACATTTATGAAGTCCCAAATCAAATGCTGCAGAGATCTAAAATTCACGTGTGAAATGGTACTAGTGACATCTTAATGAAAATAGGCTACAAGCCTAAAGGCGGTTAAGTATTATTTAACAAAGATTAATTAATAAAATTGGTAGACCAAATATTGCTTTATGTAAGAAATAGATTAAGTAAGTACCACAATTTTTATAACTACACGTCTAAGAAAACTCAGATTCTCTTAAACTTCGGTCTTAAACCTAGAAGGCGGATAATCTTCGTGAGCGAAAAGTATTATTTATGAATACCAATGTGCGTGTGACAATTAATGATTAACCTATGAAAATAGCAACTAAGCTATTTTAATATGTTTTATTGCGACGACGAAGACCTTTAAAATATCTAGCGGTTTAAACTTGGTCCTTCTTACTTAGTTGACATGCTAATTAATTATGAGCCAATTATAATCAATATTTTGCAACTGGTGGTAAGTAATGAGATGTTGGTACTGCTTTATACTACAATTGAATCACAACCAAGCTTTTACAAGTTAATAAATTCAGAAACGACCTCGTGTTCCACCAACTAAAAGTGCTGTTAGTGAAAGCCACGATATAATCTATAACATATGTATTAAAATGCCAATTTATATAATATAATTTGAAAACTAATAAATAAACAATTTATTACACGTTAAAAATCAGGAATATTAATTTCACTGATGCAATACCAAATCAGATTTTTACAATTGTAGCATGGAATATGAAAATCCATAAAATAACTAAACCAAATTAATAGGAATATTTTGTGTGACTATAATGACCGGACCCTAAAGCTATCAATTATTATCCTTGAACAAATTTACCTCAAGCCAATTCGAAACTATCATTTTTCAAAATGATTTCTGCTAAACCTATGCTCATTAATTACTACTAATAAAATCCCAGGTTTTGTCACAGATAACGTAGTTACAAAGTCCTGTTCGTCTCATTGTAATAAAATTAATCACGTGAGTCTAGTTATGGGAAGACGCCAGTTTCAATAACAAAAATCTTGAATATTAAGACAATTAACATCTAACCGCTTATTTGCACCGTTGTGTTACGCTTATATTTAGCTTATCCTTCACCTTATTCTACTCGTTACATTAATTAAAAAAATCAACAAAATAAAAATAAATACTTCTTTTTGAAGTCTGTAAAAAATAGATACATTAGCCATAATACCATCAAAATGTACTATCGTTTGGTATTAGAGCAAAACAAGAATTATACTTCTCATGCTAATAGTTTCGTCATAATTATTTATTTAATCAACCTTATTGACCACAAAAGTGGCCAATATTAAAATAAAAATATTGCTTTTATTAAATAAATCTTCCCCCAAAGTGCGTGTTGACACTATACATTTTCACTAAATTAAATAGATCGATGAAAAGTGTAGCGCGATAGGCATTTTACAACCCAAGAGAAGAACAAGTTACAATATTTTTGTAATATATGCGAACTACTGATGGGGCGAGTCCAATTAGCGACTGGATAGCATTCTGCGTAAAAAAAAATACGGCCAGTGACAAATTTTACTTTTGTTATTACCTCAAAAACTTCTTTCTTTTGGATGTCAAAATGAGTCATGTTTCAATGACTATAAAAATAAATGATCTTATTTGCACTGATCAAACGGGATATTTCAGGTGCCAAATTTAACACGCTAAAGGCTTCCACAGACCAAACGCGAGTCAGAAGCAGTGCGGGTCAGTTGCAGCGCGGCTTAGGCACTGAAAGCAGCGCAGTTTAAAAGCAGTTGCAACGCGGGCGGTTGTCAAAAATTTAAATATTCGAATACCGCTTTTAACGCGCTGATACCGCCCTGCGTCCGGTGTGTCATGCTAATATTATTATGGCCGCCATAGTAATACAACAGCGCGGGCCCGCGTTCGCACCGCTTCTGTCCCGCACCCGCGCCGCCTCGTTTGTCGTTCGGCAGTTGCAGTAACGGCGCGGTTGGAGCGCGCGCCCGCGTTCAAATTTGGTGTTACACACTTAAAAGAGTTTTTTGTATTACAACTTGCACAGGCCCGTATTCAAACTGCGCTGCTACTGCCCCGCGTTTGGTCTGCCCAAGCCTTAATGACACAACTAGTAAAGTGCATAATGACTAGTCTGCAATTAATTATTTTGCAATGTTCTGTAGTATAAAATATTTTTCTTTATACCAGTCAATTAGGTTTAAAATAGCGTGCTTATATGTATTGGCTAACTTTTGTAGCTGTACCAATCATAACATAATAATGCCGCGTTTATCTGATGAAAATCATAGTACTTTTCATGAAAGAAGTACCGTAGTACTATTATAAATAGATAAAATCTGCATGCAAAATTAATTCCGCAAAAATCTCAGGTAACTTTTTCATGAAAGGAATTTTAACCAAGTTTTTGAGCCACTGAACTTTGGACCCTTTCTTATTCTGGGATACGTGGTACATACATACAAGTATGTGTACAACGTATGTACCACTTGATTTTTAATGAAGCAGTTATCTTTTCCTTTACCTGGTGGTAGCGGAATAAGTGCCGCCCTATTTAAACTCTATTCATATGAATAAGGTAGGCATAATAACAATTATTTTCTTAATAATTGATTAAAGAGTGGCCAATAATTGTTTTCTAGTGTTTATTACAGACTTTTTAATAAAACTATTTTAAATGTATCGTATAATTACTTCATTAAAAATCGACAGGATCGATTCACAGACTTTCACCATTTATAACTCAATCTTTTATGAGTTATCAGCATTTGGAAGTACATAATATGATGTACATAATAATACATAATGTATACTTTATTTTTTCTTGATTGTTGATGGGTTCTTAAGATTTGCAGTCTTTTTAGTTCCAGAAATAGTAGAAAGTCTTGGAAACGGATCCAACATGCATATTATTCTTTTACACAGTAAAATGTATAAGGTAGCACTAGCCTTTTCAGACCTATTAATATAAAAATGTCATAGTTTGGTATAATACAATGTATTGTGTAACAATATATACGTAATCTATTCATTCGTTAGCAGTAAAAGCTATAAAATGTAAGGTTTTCCCAAAGAAATGATGAACATTATTCAGAGAGTGAGCTTTCCGCAACATCGAGAACGAAACACATAAAACAACAAACATTCATCAAACGACCGGCGTAAGAACGATCCGCTGTATCGTCACCGAATCATGTATTTCAAACTCTAAGACCTAAATGAACACATGAAATACAAACCGTCGCGGCGCTACAGTTCTTCACTGCGCCCAGACGGAGCGGCGACATAAACCTAGTGTTAAATAATTACAAATCTTAAACGTAAAATAAACTCAATAATATACATAATTACATTATATATTCGAAAATATAACAAAAAACGACACAGTCAACATCCGAGAAGGGGTCGAGCGCACTCACGGCCGTCAGGCGGCCGGCGGCGGGCGATCGGGACTCTTATTTACATCAAACATTCTCTCGCGTCGGCAGTGTTCCGATAATTACGCTAAGGCGCGCGTGGCTCCGGCGGCACGGGCGCAACCGAGGAGCCCGAGGTCTGCATAGAAACGGGTTCCTCGGAACGCCGGGGCGGCCAGACGTCGCTCGGTCCACAAACCTATGTCGCGTTTCGGCGCACGGGCGTTCGGCCGCGCGGGAGCCACTTTGGCACCGGGGGTCACGGCGCGGACCGCGGCCCACAGAGCGGGTCGCGACCGCGCGGCTGCGTCGTCAGTGCGCGAAGCGGCAGACGTCGCAGCGCTAGATGCTCGGGCGTCACATCGCCGGCCGCTCCCAGTCCACCGCCGCCGGCGGGGGCGCGCCGCTCCACGCGCCCCACTGCTCGCGGCGGAAGAAGCGCTTCTTGAAGTGGTGCGCCGGCAGCGGCGACGGCGAGCGCGCGTCCGAGCCGCCCGGCGCGCCCGCCGCCGCCGCCGCGCCCGCCCCGCCCGCCGCCTCCGCCGCCCGCGCCACCCCGCGAGCCGCTTCGCCGTGTCCGATCCCCGAATCCGGAGACGTATTGCACGCCTCGTCCGACCGCCGCCGTTTATCCTCCATCGCGGTGGAAGCGAACGAAATTATCTGGTCGAAGCGAAACGCTATCCGGTCCTGCCATTTGCTTTCGTCGACCTCTTCGGTTCCTTCGCCATCTGAGTTCGAAAAGATCATATCAGGATACGAGGCGTCCGGGAGAGATAAATTTTGACAGGTTATGCGATTTCATCAAAAGTCGTTACCGTTTATCTGAACACGCATATTATGCTTTAATGTCTATTAGAAATCCCAAAAAGTAGTATGTATCATCGTACCTGCAGGTCGCGCGCTGTCGGGCAGCTCGTCGACGAGCGGCGTGGACGTGTTGGAGTGCGGGTCGAGCGGCGGCGAGCGGCGCCGCGCGGCCTCGTCGTCGCCCGCGCCGGCGCCGCCCCCGCTGCCGCTGCCGCTCCCGCTGCCCGGGCCCGCCGTCGCTCCGTTGCGCCCGCGCCAGTATTCCGATGCCAGCACGCGCGCTTGTAAACATGCAGCTAAGCCTGTAGGAAATTCTATAGCTTAAATAGATTCTTTTTATAGTACGAGGGGACCGTAAGAAACCCTACGTCATTTGATACTAAGATAATATGATCCATGGCACACGTTCAGAAAAGTTGTGCTAAGCTTGGAACAATTAATTAATAAACTCCGATTTGGCCGAAAGTACAAAAAAAATTTGAGCAATTTGACCGTAAATGACGGTCAGTCAACTTCAGCCACTTTAGTGATTTTCAAGACTAGTCGTGTACGTTGAGCACTGACCTTCCAGCGGCTGGTGCGCGGAGGCCGGCTCGTGGTAGCGCGCGCTGAGGTTGACGGTCGCGTTGATGATGCTCTGGTTGGAGATCTCGAGCGTGCGCTCGATCTCGCCGTTGACGAGGTCGCCGATGGTGCGCGCGCCGGGCGCCGCCAGCCGCTCCTGCGATAGATGCCGACGCAGCGCCAGTTTAGCCGGGGAGACCTGCCGAGCGGTCGCTCTTCTTGTTCAATGACGTATAGCTTGCGCCTCGCGAAGTCTCGCCCGAGACGTCGCGAGATCGCGGCGCGAATGCTCGGTACACAGAGCGATCGCATGACAGTCACAAAATAATGTTAGTAGATTGTCTACAAAATTCTGCCCTTTTCTCAATCATGTTCATTTATACGATCGTGTGCATTGAAATGAGAATCATTTTAGGATTAAATCAGGACACAATTTTGTGGACGATCAGCTTCAAACACGACAAATACAATATGTCTTGATTGTTATTAATTTTGTTATAGTAAGAATAAGAATGTTGTTATTCATTATACTAGCCATGCAAATCTACGTCCATTTATTGGGCGGTTTTGGTACTCCTGCTAACTTCAACGACTAGCAGGAAAAAGGTTTATTAGTCCAGTCCTTAGTAGTTTTACCTGCTAAGTTTTCCGGGAATTTTGAAAATTGTTATTTATATAGATATTGATGTGCTCAACTTTGCGACCTCGTACGGTTGCCGCTCGCGCCGCCATATTGAAAAAAATGCCTATTCCTATTTAATACAGTCATGATAAAGTTATTTATACAAAAATAAACTAGACAAAATTCCATACATTTGACGTTTACATAACTTTTTACTACCTTGTGGAGGATTAACCGACGCGTATTTTTTTTTTGTTCAGCATAACCTAAGCACCCGGTTGCGTATCCAGGCATATTCAAACTCACAATTACCAATAATAGGTTATAAAATAAACTGGATCTATCCGAAAATTCAATGTTTTCAGCTTCCATACATTTAGTACAGCCACATTCATGGCACTCATGTCTTGATAATATTATGGCAAGTAAAGCCTAGAACCAATGTTTTCCATGAATAATTTTAAATAAGATTGCAGTTTACAAGTTCATTTTTAAGTGTTTATTATTTAATTTAAAAAATTAACACTCAATATTGTGTGACTGGCATACATTTAGTATGGAGGCTGAAAACATTGAATTTTTAGATAGATCCAGTAAATTTTGTAACCTATTACTGATAGCGTTAGAAAGAGCTCGTGAACCACTTACAGGATCAGTAACCAGTTTTTAGATATCTTGTGTAGTTTAGAAATAATCGAGTGAGATCACTTATCGTTTCCACCCTGTATAATATCCAAGTCTACCTCGAACACAACAGAGGATGGCGTATTTTTCCGTACCTGCGTGTAGTCGGGTTGCGATATGTGTCGGAGGTCGGGCGGGCGCGCGTCCAGGTGCGCGGGCAGGCGCGCGCGCTCGAACGGGTAGCGCTCGCGCCGGAAGTCCCGCGCCGCGCGCGCGAAGCCCGGGCCCGGCTGCGCGGGCGCCGCGGCGGCCGGCCCCGCTCGCGCCCCGAACGCGCCCGCCCCGTGTCCCGCGAGCGCCCCGCCGCCGCTCGTCGGCCGCACGTACCCGTTGGCGTACGCGTGGTTCGGCGTCGGTTGTCGCGCCGCCTGCACAGATTCACACGACCGTTCAACGACCCGTCTCGGCAGCGTCGAGATTGTAGGTTACCGATTCAGAGGGCTGAGTGTGAGTTTACATCAAACGTCCTCACTGGCGCGTAAAAAAATGTCATTAAATGTATGACGGATTGTACAGCCGCCCTAGCGGAAACGTTCAAGAACTAAAATTTTCATACATTTTTTTATCAAATCAAATCAAATCAAATAATCATTTATTGTGTTAGTTATAGATAATACAATAACACAGATCTTAAATTAACGCGCTCACTAGTGACGACTTAATTAACGCGCTCACTAGTGAGGACGTTTGATGTAAACTCACACTCAGCCCATAGTATTTTCGAATTTGAACCTCCAGTCCGGGCGCTATCAATGATGTAGTACTTCACTTAGTTGCTAGATTACGACAGCACACTTATGCGTTTTTTTTTATTGCGGCTACTGCTACAAGGCAATTTTAATACATACATTTGGTCATCTTTGCATTGAGTAGATAACATTCAAGGTGGACGTTCTATGAAGGAGTCTCTACGATCTGCCGTGGACGTCTTCGATCTGATGGTTTTGGTTGTGACACAAACACACGCACAATTGTTAAATATCAGAAGTAAAATAAAAAATGTAAAGGACCTTCCTCCAAATACATCTGAGCAGGTTATTTCATTTGAGGATTATTTTTATTATAAAACATAAAATATTTCTTCTGTAACTAAAGATTTTATAAGCATTATTTATTTTAGTTTTGAGAAATACCACATCTTAAAAATTACTCCTCAATTCTTCATTTAAGTCCATTTATAATCTCAGACAAGTAATAATAAAAAAAATCAAGATAAATAAATCGATAAAATGTTTTTGTTAATGCTATTAAAATTTCTGAAAATCTAGTAAGACGTAAATAATAAAAACCGGGGTTTTTCTAAGAAAATACTGAACAAAACTTAAAAGCAAAGTGACCTTTACTATGGAAAAGTATGACTAGTGATCGGATAATCAAATGCGAAGTTCATTTTCAAAGACGTCCACCACAAAACATAGATTCCCCAACGATGTCCACAAATAATAGCCAACAGAAACACATAAAATGCTCAAAATTTTGCAGGCACATAGACACACTCATCTTCCTTCTCTTTGGTTTCTAATTGATCTTCCCAACCATTCATTACACAGAGGGATACAACATGAGCGTAGAAACAGGACATGGTTTGTTTGTTTTTTTCACACAACATCACAGCCATAACCACAATGCCGTGGGCATTTCGAAAATTGGGGTAAAATACTCGCGTAAATACCTGATGTCGCGTTTTCGCCATTCCAGGAGCTTGTCCATTAGAGCAGCGGTAAATTAGAACAATTTATAAGTGGGGGTGGGTAAATATCTTTTGGATTTTTTCTCAAAAGACTACCTATACGTATTTAAAATAGGATTTTAAACACCAAATCGCAATCCTCATCACCCACCAACCATACTTAAATATCCATCCGATTATCCGATCACTGATAATAATTGACCAGTTCCGAGCCAATAGCCATGAAAACAACCTGAACGGGGCATCGTGTTCAACGTGAGCACGATGCAACAGTTAGTTAGCGGACTGACCTTGCGCTGCTCCTGGTCCTCGTTGAGCACGGAGGTGATGATGCTCTTGAGGCGGTCCTCGAAGTTGATGACCTTGGGCGACTCCTGCACCTTGGCGACGACGTTGAGCGGCTTCTGCGGCTTGGCGGGCGAGTGGCGCGGCGCCAGCGGCGGCGGCTGCGGCCCGCGCGCCACGCCCGCCACCGGCGCGCGCTGCAGCGGCGACACCTTCGGCTGCATGCTCCTGCAAGCGAGTCCTCTGTCCATAAGGTGTCTACGAGTCGAAATAATTGTATTCGATTACCCCACAGATGGGGATGAGGTGAGTCCTGTGCCCTACAGCAGAGTGGATACGGTGTATTATATCTTGGCGTAATTTTAAGGAACGCACGTTAATCTTCTTCTTCTTCTTATAAATAAAAATGAATTGTTGTTCGTTAGTCTGGCTAAAACTCGAGAACGGCAGGACCGATTTGGCAAATTTTTGTCTTGAAATATTTGTGAAAGTTCAGGGAAGGTTTAAACGGTGAAAAGACACAGTTCTTATAAAAGAAAAATACAGCGGTACAAAGTTCGCCGGGACAGCTAGTAATAAATACATATTATAATGATAATCCATGGGAGTCAGAAACCAACAGGGCTTCATTCGGGAATAAATTCTAATAGGAACCGTCTCGAAGTCCTTTTACTAAAGCCTGGTCCGTGAGCACGTAGAATCCCGTCCAATGACCCTAAGCTACCCATCCTTATCGCTCGCGCATAATTATATTGCTGTCGCGACTGTGCGACGCGCGCCCGCAGTGAGTGTGCGAGCGCGACAGCAACATAATTACGTGCGAGCGACAAGGATGTGCAGCTTGGGGTCATCGGACGGGATTCTACGTGCTCACGGACCAGGCNCCTTTTACTAGCTAATGGGAAGTCCTAAAAAAAAATAAGACCATTGAACTCACCCTTTCTGTTGCCTGTGAAGGTCTATATGCCGGTCGAGCTCGCGCGCGTAGCCGTTGACGACGACGTTGGGCTTGGCGCCCTTGCCGGCCTCGAGCTGGCGGCCGGTCTCGAGGATCTTCTGCGCGAGCAGCTCGGGGTTCTGCTCCTCGATCTTGACGACGGCGGGCACGTCGGGCCACTCCTGCGAGCGCGAGCGCTGCTCGCGGAGCTTCCTGGGCTTGGAGTTGACCGTGTGCGGCTTGACCGTGGCCACCGGCACGGCGGTCGGAACCACCTTCTGCTGCTCGCTAGCCCTCTCCATTTGCATTATTTCATTCTGCAGGTGTCCAACCTGCGCATGTAACCGTTTTCTATGAGCCAAAGTAGCCGATATCTCCTTCAATATACAATCATGGGCCATGCTCTGAGTGATCTCTACATCGGGCGGTATGTGACCTAACTGTCTATATTTTTCTGTTATTTCAAACGTTCTCTGCTTAACAAGAATAGCTTGTTCAGCTTCTATACTGTTTACCTGAAATTAAAGTAAAATGTATTCAATATTTACAAGTTTTATTCACTCAATTCACTAGATACGTATATTTTTTTAATTTCTTTTNTAATCCTATAAGTTTTTTTTCACGTGGGACGGATGGCCACATTTGTAGACATAAAAAGAAAATGCATTTTCTCGAAAAGTATAACACTAGGATTTTTTTCATTATTTTATTCTTACATACCTTACTATACTTTAGTTGCATAAATTTTACTAAATTGATCGGATGAAAAAAAATAATTCAGGTCTGAAAGGGTTAAAGCAAATGTGCATGCATTCCAATAAATATGAGGATTTTTCAATAAATTTATAAAAAAACAACACGAGTAAAATTTTAGGACTAGGTACCTGAGCTTGCAGTTTGCTAGCTTTACTTTGCAGTTCTTTGTGCCTGCCCACGATTTCCTTAGCTTTGGCGAGTAAATCCACCGTATTATTGGCGTGTATACCCAATTCACTCATACGTGCTTTTAGTAGTGCGACACTGTCACTTATAAGCACATTAATCTGTTTATCTAATTGTGACGCACGTGACTTCAATTTCTGATTTCTTTCCTGAAAATGGACATCACCATATATTTTTGGGTTATTTATTAGTTTGGTAGTGTGGCAGGAAATGAATTAAAACATATTAATAAAAATACACAAAACAATGATTCGCTACACACAGACATTGATTCAGACAAGGTAGCAGAAATTTTAATTGAATTTATAAACAAAATTAGAGACCAAAGTAAATATTTATGCTAACTCGTCTAAAACAAACAATGTAAAAAGTAATATACAATTTTATACGTCAACTCACAATAATCTCTCCGTATATGAATCCAATTTAAAAGAAAAGTTGCAATTCAATAGCACTAATGAAAAGTCAAGAAGGAAGGATGGAACATTCACAATAAATGCAGCCTATGTTTGTTAAGCGGCAGTCACATTCAGTAAGGTAGTTGACACCACCAATTGATGTGCTTTTTATAAGCTTTAGATTATCCTACAATTTCACTATTTTGCTAACTCAACTTACAAACTTTAAATTACCAAGCATAACAAAAGCTAAGTTTAGAGTTACAGGTATTTAAACCAAATTGAGCTTTTATGGTTAGAATAAAGTGTTCTTTTACAAAAGTGCCTAATTATTGGATTATTTTGTCAGCTACCCACTGTTGTGTGAACCGCGCGTCAATTTAGTAACGCATGCAGTAATCAGTCTTACCTTCTCCTTGTCGATCTGGTGGCGGATCTCATCGGCATACTCGGGCGTGGCCATGCGGCGGACGAGCGCGAGGTACTGGTCGCGGAACATATCCAATAGTAACTGCAGGCTGTAGGGCGCGGTCGGCGAGCGCGGGATGTCCAGCTCTGAGTGCAAGCGCTCCGCCGGTTGTAAAGCCACGCCCAAAGCTGATAGCCGCTGTTCTACGCAACCTGGCGGCGGCGCCGTTACCTGACAGGGGAAAATGTATAAACTACAGTACAGCTCGGGAGTATTGATAATTCGGATAGCTAATTTTAGCCAAAAATCGTCGTCTTCGAACACTATCACAACCACGCATCATATTATGACGGTAAAATAAACATTGATCTTAAAGTTAGTTAATACATCTGAAGAGTTATTCTACAATTTTGTTTTTACAATCTTGTCGGTGTTAGTCTTTCCTCTTCTTTCGTGTCGACGGGAATATTGACCCCAATAAAACTCCTATCGATATTACATTACAATACCCGGCAATAAATATTGCACATCGACCTTTGGAAAGAGAATCGGTTAATTTCGGCTCGTAGTTAAAAGAAACATAGTTTTTGGCTTTATAACGACTAAAATAAATAATACTCACGGTGCCATTATGAGCCGTGGAAGCGAGCGTGGTGGAGTGTAGCAAGTCGAGGCCGGCGATGGCGGCAGGCGCGGCGCGCCGGCGCTTGGCGCGGGCGGCGGCCCTGCGCCGCGCGCCCCCAGCGCTCGCGCTGCGTTTGCTCGCCGACCGCCGACTTCGATCTGGTGACGTAAACAAATGATGTTACACAGACTGCGTTTAGATTTTTCGTAAAGAGCTAGGGCGTCTGGTTGATCGACTTAGTCCCGATTTGATGAAACTTTTATCCGAGAATAACTCCTGATACAAATGGCACATTGACAGTTTCAGTATGGGAAATATGTCAAAACCAACGATGTATTCTGAGATTAATATTTTACTCTTGTTTGATCGAATCCACCCTTAGTTTACAAGGTTCCATAAAAAATATCGCAATTAAACAAAACCGTATAAACGTCATAGAACAGCAATTAAAATAATAAAATCCAAATTCAGTGACCAAATCCACCTTCAGACCGAGTAGCCTCTGATGTTCCTGAAGAAAACGAAGAGAAAGTTGGAAGAACTTATAAAATATCTCATGTTAACCATGTTGGCGACAACCAGTAGTGGACTGATCCTGTTTCGATGCCTTCTCTGGATACCATTATGTTTGTCTCTAAACGCTGGGAGGATCCAAATTACAAAAGATAATGAGAGATATTAGCGCCCCCTTGAGGACCACCTTAATGTTAGGCACAATAATAATTATTGTGACGTTCTTAATGCTTCAACGCGCGGACTGTCATGGGTCGCGCGACCTGTCATTGGCCTATGATCGCGTCGGCGATAGCGATCTGCACGCGATGGTGTGCCTAACATTAGTCAAAAGATACTTGACTAATGATATTCACNTAACAAAAGCTAAGTTTAGAGTTACAGGTATTTTAAACCAAATTGAGCTTTTATGGTTAGAATAAAGTGTTTTTTTAGAAAAGTTCCTAATTATTGGTTTATTTTGTCAGCTACCCACTGTTTTGTGAACCGCGCGTTAAATCAGTCACGCATGCAGTAGTCAGTCCTACCTTCTCCTTGTCGATCTGGTGGCGGATCTCATCGGCATACTCGGGCGTGGCCATGCGGCGGACGAGCGCGAGGTACTGGTCGCGGAACATATCCAATAGTAACTGCAGGCTGTAGGGCGCGGTCGGCGAGCGCGGGATGTCCAGCTCTGAGTGCAAGCGCTCCGCCGGTTGTAAAGCCACGCCCAAAGCTGATAGCCGCTGTTCTACGCAACCTGGCGGCGGCGCCGTCACCTGACAGGGGAAAATGTATAAACTACAGTACAGCTCGGGAGTATTGATAATTCGGATAACTGATTTTAGCCAAAAAACTGATGATCGTCGAGTACCATCACAACCGCGTATCGCAGTATGACGGTAAAGTAAGATTAATCTTTGCAAAAGCCCTAGTGTTCTTGTTGGTCAGGGTGTTTGCAATTTAATCCACTGATATTCAGACTCATAATCGGGAATAGTCTTTCCTCTTCTTTCGTGTCGACGAGCATATTGACCCCAACCAAAACTCCTATCGATGTTAGTTAAAAGAAACATGGTTCTTGACTTTATAACGATTAAAACAAGTCTACTAATAAATAGATAATACTCACGGTGCCATTATGGGCAGTGGAAGCGAGCGTGGTGGAGTGTAGCAAGTCGAGGCCGGCGATGGCGGCAGGCGCGGCGCGCCGGCGCTTGGCGCGGGCGGCGGCCCTACGCCGCGCGCCCCCAGCGCTCGCGCTGCGTTTGCTCGCCGACCGCCGACTCCGATCTGGGGACGTAAACAAATGATGTTACTCAGACTGCGTTTAGATTTTTCGTAAACAGCTAGGGCGTCAGGTTGATCGACTTAGTCCCGATTTGATGAAACTTTTATCCGAGAATAACTCCTGATACAAATGGCACATTGACAGTTTCAGTATATGGGAAATATGCCAAAACCAACGATGTATTCTGAGATTAATATTTTACTCTTGTTTGATCGAATCCACCCTTAGTTTACAAGGTTCCATAAAAAAACATCGCAATTAAACAAAACCGTATAAACGTCATAGAACAGCAATTAAAATAATAAAATCCAAATTCAGTGACCAAATCCACCTTCAGACCGCGTAGTCTCTAATGTTCCTGAAGGACCGAAAAGACAAGAGAAGAGGTTGAGAGAATGATGCGAGATGATAACTAAGTTGGCGGCGCGAAATTGCCACCGGCAACCCGTAGTGGTGGACTAAAAGTTCAACTGTTTCGATCGACGTTCCAACAGGATCACCTGTTTCGGTGCCTTCTCTGGATGCCATTAGGTTTGTCTCCAAGCGCCGGGAGGATAAATAAATTCTAAAAGATAATGAGAGATGTTCGCCTCCACCAGGACCACCTTAATAATCATTGTTGCCTTTCTAAGTGCCTAACACTGTTCAAAAGACATTTCACTCACTTGAATCTGAAGAGGAAGCCCATGGCGCGCCCCACTCGCGCGGCGCGGGCTCGGGCCCCGGGGGCGCGTCGTCGGTGCCGCTGGACTCCTCGTCGCTTTCGTCCGTCGACCGCCGCGCCACGCGTCTTTTGGCCACGGCCGCGCGCGCTCGCGTCCGACCGTTCTCTCCCCTGTGGGATTACAAATGATATCTTAGCAAAGAGTATTGTTTATACAGGCTTACAGTGAGAATATGCACAAAAATAACATTAAACAGACCAAAATCAGAGCTATCGTTTTTGATCATCAGTTGGCGCCACTGATGAGCCGTCACTTGCCAGTGGCGCCAATCATGCGCCTTACCTTTTTTTTATTCGTAAGTTTTTGCAAGCGCGCGGGAAGAGCCTGGATGCGGGCAGCGCAGCATCGTTTATTATGGAAAACCTTGGGGGAGGCCTTTGTCCAGCAGTGGACGTCATTTGGCTGAAACGACGAGTTTTTGCAAAATTGAATCACATAACGATAGTGACTTCTTAGCTTCTTACCTGCATCTTAGCTTAGACCGTAGTAGAGCACCATTCGCCGTCGTCGTCGTTTCAGCCGAAGGAAGTCCACTGCTGGACAAAGGCCTCCCCCAAGGATTTCCACAAAGACCGGTACTGCATCGCCCGCATCCAGGCCCACACTAGGTCTTCCGGCTCGTAGTGTGCCATGTTACTTTAAATATTTTTGTCTTAATTACCTGACGGGCCGCTGCCTGGCGACTTTGCGGCGGCGTTCCGGCAGCGAGCCGGTGCTGTGGTTGCTGTTCCCGTTGAGCAGGTCCGGCGTGGGCTGGCGCGTGGGCGGCGCGCTCAGGTTCCTCTTGCCGCTCGTCTCGCCCTCGTCTTGAACACCCTATATAAACATTTCATTGTTCATACTGTTCGAAGGGTCTTTCAGCGAATAATGCTTCAACTACACCAACGGCGCGATCATAGCCCAATGACTGCGCGGACTGTCATGGGTCGCGCGACCTGTCATTATGATCGCGCAGGCGATAGCGATCTGCGATGGTGGTGTAGTTGAAGCTTTAGCAAAGAATTCGAAGCGTGCTTCACCCGTTTACTTACACTGTCACAGATAAAGTATAAAAATCATTTTGATACATGTATGAAATTGCATGTTTTATATTATTTACATAGTCCTACATAAATTAAAACTACAATTGGCTTACATTGATAAATATACAATACACATAAAATATTCATAAATTCTTTCGGTTTTATAAATAAATATTCATAATGTTATAGATAAGAATATCTATTGCATTAAATGATATGTATGTATTATTTATTTATGTACTTGAGAATGAATGATCAAGTTCATTATTGTAATAAATAAACTAATATTATAAAAAATATAATAAACATAAACATAATTAATAGAGATATTATGTGATTGGAAACAGACCCTTTTGCTGACCTTGAGTTTCGGATTTTTCAGTCTTTGAAAGTATCTCTCCAATTTAGTCCTATCTATAATATGTAAATAGTAAGAGACTGGCTTCCCCGTCCATGACACTGATCCCTTCAGAGGCGACATCTCACTGACGTGCATGATAGTGCCGATATCGCTCAAGTTTCTATCTGTTATTCTGAAGTTTAATGGACAAAAGCTTTTCGATGATACAATTTTTGCTCCGTCTTTCAAATCAGCAAATCTTTCTTTCAACTGATGATCAACATTTGGGCCAAACGCAAAGTTGTTTACGAAGANATTCAATATGACTGATAAAAGTATAATCAAGTTTAATCTAACCTATACATTTTTTTTGGTTCGCAAATGCTATACGTAAACAAACATTAGTTAGGTAGTTAGTTATGACTATAGTGCATTTCATGGATTCAGAGTTTCAAAGTTCATTTTAGTATTTATCACCAAGGTATCCAAGTGGCAAGTACAGTAGATACTAACTTACGTACCTACTACCAATTTTGTATTGAGAAATTATTAAGGTAAAAGACCCGGCCATGGGACGGGTTATGTAGATGTCCTGAATATTGCGAGTAATTAAAAAAAATCTAGACTTTTCTTTTTTAATAGGTACATAATTTGATACCTATTAGAGTAAAAAGGCGCTTTCGTTCGTTTCAGCCTAAAGACGTCCACTGCTGGACAAAGGCCTCTCCCAAGGATTTCCACGAAGACCGATCCTGCGCCGCTCGCATCCAGGCACCTCCCGTGACCTTCACCAGATCGTCGGTCCACCTAGTGGAAGAACTTTCCTGCCCCAGCGGACATCAGCTCTACGAGCTATGTGCCCCGCCCACTGTGACTTTATTTTAGCGATTCGAAAAGGCGCTTTATAAGTTCAATTTTAATGCAATTGAAAGAGAAAACAATAAAGACTGACCGATTATAATAACGTTTTCTTTATTTTTTCCTCAAAATATGATCCTTGTTAGGAAGTTTCGGTTTCGGTTTCGGCCGAAACAGACACCGTTGCCGAAATTCGTTTTCGGTTTCGGTTTCGGTCGTAAAACTAGTTTCGGTCGGACACTAACACCAACGCGTGCAGATCGCCATCCCGGCGCGATGATAGGCCAATGAATGCACGGACTGTCATGGGTCGCGCGTCCTGTCATTGGCCTATGATCGCGCCGGCAATGGCGATCTGCGATGGCGGTGTAGTTGAAGCTTTAGCAAAGAATTCGAAGCGTGCTTCACCTGTTTACTTACACTGTCACAGATAAAGTATAAAAATCATTTTGATACATGTATGAAATTGCATGTTTTATATTATTTACATAGCCGTACATAAATTAAAACTACGATTGGCTTACATTGATAAATATACAATACACATAAAATATTTATAAATTCTTTCGGTTTTATAAATAAATATTCATAATGTTATAGATAAGAACATCTATTGCATTTTATGATATGTATGTATTATTTATTTATGTACTTGAGAATGAATGATCAAGTTCATTACTGTAATAAATAAACTACTATTATAAAAAATATAATAAACATAAACATAATTAATAGAGATATTATGTGATTGGAAACAGACCCTTTTGCTGACCTTGAGTTTCGGATTTTTCAGTCTTTGAAAGTATCTCTCCAATTTAGTCCTATCTATAATATGTAAATAGTAAGAGACTGGCTTCCCCGTCCATGACACTGATCCCTTCAGAGGCGACATCTCACTGACGTGCATGATAGTGCCGATATCGCTCAAGTTTCTATCTGTTATTCTGAAGTTTAATGGACAAAAGCTTTTCGATGATACAATTTTTGCTCCGTCTTTCAAATCAGCAAATCTTTCTTTCAACTGATGATCAACATTTGGGCCAAACGCAAAGTTGTTTACGAAGACGATCGTAGCTGCATTTATTTTTTCTCTGTGTTCATCCATCAAAAAGTCGCCTTTTATTAATTTGTATTCACCGAACTTTTTACCGTACCACCGCATTAAAGTTCTAAAATTTAAATCCATGCTCTGAAAATAAAGATACAACAGTGTTAATGTTCAAATTGTTTAATTTAGAATTTAGTGCGGAGACGATGTGCAGTGCAGCATGCAGGAATATTACGGAACCAAACTTCTATTGATTAAAAGTAAACATACTTCAGCATATTTGCTAGGAACTTCTGCTTTCTCCACGCCAAAACAGATGCGGCAGGGTGTCGCCGCCGCCATCTGCAGGACCACTTGCCCCACACCCGAGCCAAGGTCCACGAACACATCTTCGGCAGTGATTTCGATCTGATCTATCATTTGGCATACTAACTCGTATGAAGTTTCACCATATACCTGTAAGTTAAAACGAATTGCACCTTAGATAATTTTTAAAACCAACATGGTTTACTACTATACAATAAAGCAAAGTTTATAGAACTTTTATGGAGATATTTCAATCTGTAGATGGCTAACATCAAAACATACTAACATCAAAAATTATGTTGAAATATTTATATGTGTATTTAAGTATGCGTCCTTGTAGACTCAGAAAAATACTTTATCATCGCGATGTAAAGTAGTAAAGCGCCATCTAGTGACGTTGTTTTGAACTTAATATTATAACTGTATCAGAATAAAGTATATAAACGTTAACAAAGCATGATACCTATTTTTATTGCCACATTTAAGAAATTGATTTTGAAATCTTTTTTATTTATTTATTTTCATTTAAAATACTTCAACATACAATTTTATATCAGTAAAATGCAATTCTTGAACATTTCATTTGTATTCATTAATGCAGCAGACATCAATTACCCCACTACTAAAAGATAAAAAAAAATCATTTTTAGATCCATGAACTATTTTTTTGTGATCTTAGATGTCGATCGATTTGACGGGTGGTAACTATTTTTTGTGATCTTGTTATTTCGATTTTGTTCGGTATTCTTCTTTTCTCGAAGTCAATAAAATGTACTTGATAAATTGTTTTAAGTCAACATCACATCGTAAATAGTTTCTAGTAATGTATTAACCTAAAACAAAATGAAAATGGTTACCGATTCTTGTTTCGTAATGATTGTTGTATCAAAAATAATACTTGTTTACCAGGTTTTGCTTCAGTTGAACGACTCTACTCTTTTGGTAGAATGATAATGAGGCCACACAGATGAAACAAAAATAATGGTAAAGTTCATTAGCTGAAGGTATGTAAAATATGTATTTAGGTTTGTGTGAATATTTTTTACACATTTCTAACATGTAAAGTAGTTATGTCGATAGCATATTAATTGAACACTATGTTATTTATAACAGTTAGAACAGGATTAAGAAAAAAATATCCAAAATATACAAACCTCAGGTGAAAATGGCTCATATTGATTTAATTTATCTGGGTCTGAGACTGCTTGATTGTATGTCTGCTGTAAAATATGTCTCAATAAGCCTCTTGATGGGTACTTGTTTAAACGTTGAGCTGGCAGTGAAGTTCCCTTTTCCTGTAAAATAATAAAAAACACACATTTTAATTTAGGCAACTACATTCACAACAATTAGAAGTAATATCTATCCGACTTTCCAACATTTCATAATATCAATATTATTCTCATAAAATAAAATGATTTTAATGTGACCTGCTCTTGCATTTTATCTGCTAAAGGACTGGGACCACGTGTCCGCAAAAGGCAACGACACCTTGCCCGTGAACTTTTGTGGGATCATTTCCAGACATCAACCCAGACCCAGACTACAGGTCAGAGACACTTTTCATAATCCCTACTCTACCTAGACAAAATATCAGATAAAAATTCGTTTTTTTTCGCAATATCGTAACATCAAAACAAAGATGCTGCTGTTACTCATGAATAATAACGGTCAAAATTATATTTCGGAACATTAATATTATGTATGTGTATTGTGCGACCTTGACATTGGCGGTGGCCATATAATATGAACGATCGATACCGGCACTGCGTCATTTAAGAGCAATGTCGTCGGCCTTGAATCAAAACAAGATTCAAGGTTTTATTCGTTTCCATGCAGTAAGTTACGATTATAATATGGACCGCTCTATAATGAAGACAAGCGGTCATTAGCATTGCTATACATAGAAGTGCGAGGAAGACGTGTGACGCGAGCATACTATGGTTTGCGCACAGCGACTATTCGAGTCAGCAGGAAGTAACGGTGCAGTTGTATTGTTAGTTTTGCATTATTTTGACGACTATTGAGTTATTATTTGATTTATTAATGATTATTCCTATGATTGTGTCAAAATATATACATTATTCAAATTCATAGAAAATATGCATTTATATTTTGTCACATTTCAATTGCATAGAGCCAGAAAATGTATTGACCTATAAAAGTGATCGAAAGTCCATCAGCAATTTCAAATACTAGTTATCAGGGAAAATCCAAAAAAGGACATAGGGTAAACCACCCAATCATTGGCACTCTACCAATTTATTGGCATGCTCCAGTTTTTTAAGAAAATTAAGGTTTTTTGTAGCCAAACCTTATATTTTTTAGTAGAAATTGTACAGAAATATCATTTATTACTCAACTGGATACACACGTTTTTTATTTTTTCAAACACCGCGGCGCATCAACCATTTGTTTGACAAACCGCGACCTGTGTGAAAAAAACAATCGAAATATTCGTTTTTTACTAAGGTAAGAGCTATCATAATCTTTAAAAAAAATGCAAATCTATTTTGTTGTCCCTATACATAATCATTTTGTCTTATTATTGAATATATTAACTGCCTTTTTAAAACATTATTTTATNAGCTGCTTAAAGTGCCAATAATTGGGTGGTTTACCCTATTATTATATCTACAATAATGAGTAAATAATTGAGGCTTTCCCAATTTCCTTCAAAATGTTCCTACAAGTTAATTTATTTTGCAAAATCAACAAAATTGATCGATTTTTCACTTGTTCCTGTTCGTTTCATCATTTTCATTACACAACCGCGCTAAATCGGGAGATATTGCTTATTTATTAATCAAAGTTCAATTGCCTGACTTCATTCGTAAACAATCAAGTAGAGTACCTAGAAGAAAGAATTTAACATTACCTAATAGTACTGCTATTATCATCTCGAACAAGTTTGAATGAACTATACAAGGTTAGAGTTATATGGCGGCTATATTTAGCCGAGACTGGAAAATCAATAACGACCTCTATAAGCAGGCGGACGATTGCGGCACGCGCTTAGTCGCGGGCCGACCACCTTCCCATCCCAAGGCGGGTGGCCAGGGGGTGGCGGGTTATGGCGCGGCCGCGTGGTATCTATATTCATTGTTTGTTTGTTTACGTTTGGCGAGCATTTCATTCACCCAAGTTCCAATAATATTAACACTTGTTATTTACTATTGCATTCAAACTGTTTCCCCCGCCTCACTTTGTAATTATTCAAATGTACCTACATTCAACAACACGCATCGTCTTGTCGACCTGATTTTCAAAAACACATGGTTCTCTTATGTTGAAAGTATTCCCGTTATTATGATAAAGACTAAGTTCAATTAAAAGTAAATTGTAGGACTTCCTACAATATGAAGAAAATGGAAATACATAAAGAATACAGAATAGATCGGTAGGTAGGTACATCTATTGCAGCTAGCTGTGGTATTGAAGCCGAGAACCGTAGAACGGTGACGCAATCGGCTTTCGTAGGGCCGCGTTGTCTAAATAGCACATGTACACGCTGCGCTTGGCATTGCGTCATTTAGTACCTATTCGGTGAAAATTAGAAAGCGTCCATACTCCATACCATAACATTATATCCAAAACATGCATGTACGGAATGACGCGGAAGTAATTTTTCTCAAGTGCATTGAAAAAGATAAAGGCCACTTCATCGTACCTATCGTACTGTCTGAAGAACAAATTACGGTCTAATAATTACTTCGTAATCAGCAAGATGTTGGATATTGATCCAAGACTTAACAACACAAAAATACGGGAGATGATGCCATGGAAGCTGTAAAGTTACGTAACGATACGACCCACCTTTCCCGAAAAATTTCATTGAAGAAAACTGGGAAAGTCTTTACGTAATGCTTACGAAAATTATTCGATTGTTGTTACAAGTTACTTGTTTATTTGACTTGAAGTTGTGGTTGATGATTCAATACTTACGATGGACGTAGAAAAAGAAAATAAGTTATTATTTTGTAGGAATAAAAGCAAGTTTTCTTAATAAAATACGCAGAAACGAGTACAACCAAGGCAAAGGACTTTTAAAAAATTTATATTACTGCAGTGGGTCTGCTATTTCATCCAGCAAGAACGTTTGCCTGATAGATTCTTCCCTAAAATCAAAGCTTTGAGATCCAAAATTAACCAATTCATGCTTGTGAACGGACGGATCGACGATGGCGCAGCCAAAAAAAAGGTCATTAACACTACGTGAGACATTCGCGTTCGCTCAATATTGCGGTCATCGCCCTCATGAGCGGCGTTCGGTATGAAATCATTACTTGAAACGTAAGATCATCGAAATATAAAATAGACAAACTATTCAAAACTACGTTAATGAGTACCTTATATGGAAATCGCGTGAACCATGTGCACCAACCAAACACATTGATTGTGTAAGACTGTGGGTGTTATCAATGTCTATAGAAAATATCTGATTGATTAACCCCTGTGGATCCAGGGGTTAACATAGTGGAGCACATACTCAGGTATGTGCTAAACTCAAACTAAATAAATCACTCTTGTCCATACTGACAAAAACAATGTTCTTGCTGACACAAAACGTTATTAAATACGTGTTAAATGGCCTGTATTCCCTTCCCTGTTTCATAATGCAAAAAGTTAAATGCACCAAGGGATAATGTAAAATCAATTACAAAGTTTAAAAAAGTACATGTCTTATTGCTAATGTTAATAAGTTCCTACATACAAATTAGATAGGTACAAGGCACAAAATATAACAGAAGGTAAACTCATGTATGTACCTCGCTTTGCATACCTCTCTCGCTCGCACGCTCGGCCGTCGCGCTAGGGTTGTCTTGTCATGTGTTGCGTTTATTTCGTTATGATAGAAAAATGTTACTCTTAATACTATGCAAGAAAGACAATAACAGATATCCACGTATACTTATTTATATTTAGTACGTTATTANACAAACTAAACGAAAACTACGTTAATGAGTACCTTATATGGAAATCGCATGAACGTGCACCAACCAAACACATTGATTGTGTAAGACTGTGGGTGTTATCAATGTCTATAGAAAATATCTTATTGATTAACCCCTGTGGATCCAGGGGTTAACTTAGTGGAGCACATACTCAGGTATGTGCTAAACTCAAACTAAATCAAACTGAATAAATGACTCTTGTCCATACTGACAAAAACAATGCTCACACAAAACGTTGTTAAATACGTGTTAAATGCCCTGTATTCCCTTCCCTGTTTCTCAACTCCTCCAATAAATTTTAGATATACAAAAAGTTAAATGTACCAAGGGATAATGTAAAATCAATTACAAAGTTAAAAAAGTACATGTCTAATTGCTAATGTTAATAAGTTCCTACACACAAATTAGATAGGTACAAGGTTATACGGCGCTTTAGTATGCCAGTCATCAATCACCTCGTGACATCATTCACCAACAGCAATATACGTACATACAAAATAAACTGATTATCACCTAGCTAGCCTACAGAATAATATATGGATCTATTATAGTGTACGACATACCTTGCTATTGAGCTATTGTTAGTTGCATGTTAGCAAATTAGTCTTTTCATGTCAACTTCAGTGTGTTGTTCAAAATATCAGATTAAAATGTAACTAATCGGTCCGTTGTTACACATTAACTTCTAACTGAAAGGTTAGAAAGTTAACTGAGCAGGTGCATGCATGCGTTAATTTATGCAATGTAGGTACGTGTTATTCTTCACTAGGCGAACCTGCAGGTGTTTGAAATAAGGCCTGCTGGGGCTATTTAGCTGCTGGTGCGGGCGTTTATTTGATAATAAATACAAAAGGTTACTTTATATCTCTTGGGGTAATATAAAAAGTTGACCAAAGGTTGATGATATTTAAATATTTTCTTTATAATAGAGAAGTAGGTATCTCCTTTAAATGATGAATTGGATGGATTTCGCTACGTTTTCACCATCACCAACATGGTAGAATTTAAGAGACTATAATAAATTATCAATTTAAAAATCAATTTGAATTTAACGAGGAAACCAAACAAGACAAACCAGGAAACTAAGTTAATTCATGAAAATCAATAGCTGTGTATGTTCACTGCTAAAGAGTGTTGGTATAGAACTATAGAATACCAAATCTGATTCTGAAACCACATGTCATAGGTTATCCATTTTGTCAGAGGTGGGCTGGTCACTTTTACCACTAATATTCGATCACCCACCCACACTAGAACCTTTTTCTTCCATACCATCTACATACTTTAATTATGGTTTTAGATATTTATTTTTCTAAAAGAATACAATTATATTCACTTAT